AGTAGTTAGTAGTTAGTTAGTTAGTAGGTTAGTTAGTTAGTTAGTTAGTAGTTAGTAGTAGTTAGTTAGTTAGTTAGTTAGTTAGTTAGTTAGTAGTTAGTTAGTTAGTTAGTTAGTTAGTTAGTTAGTTAGTTAGTTAGTTAGTTAGTTAGTTAGTTAGTTAGTGTTAGGTTAGTTAGTTAGTTAGTTAGTTAGTAGTTTAGTTAGTTAGTTAGTTAGTAGGTAGTTAGTAGTTAGTTAGTTAGTTAGTTAGTTAGTTAGTTAGTTAGTTAGTTAGTTAGTTAGTAGTTAGTTAGTAGTAGTTAGTTAGTTAGTTAGTTAGTTAGTTAGTTAGTTAGTTAGTAGTTAGTTAGTTAGTTAGTTAGTTAGTTAGTTAGTAGTTAGTTAGTTAGTAGTTAGTTAGTTAGTTAGTTAGTTAGTTAGTTAGTAGTTAGTTAGTTAGTTAGTAGTTAGTAGTTAGTAGTTAGTTAGTTAGTTAGTTAGTTAGTTAGTTAGTAGTTAGTAGTTAGTTAGTTAGTTAGTTAGTTTAGTTAGTTAGTTAGTTAGTTAGTTAGTTAGTTAGTTAGTAGTAGTTAGTTAGTTCGTTAGTTAGTTAGTTAGTTAGTTAGTTAGTTAGTTAGTTAGTTAGTTAGTTAGTTAGTTAGTTTAGTTAGTTAGTTAGTTAGTTAGTTAAGTTAGTTAGTTAGTTAGTTAGTTAGTTAGTAGTTAGTTAGTTAGTTAGTTAGTTAGTTAGTTAGTTAGTTAGTTTAGTTAGTTAGTTAGTTAGTAGTTAGTAGTTAGGTAGTTAGTTAGTTAGTTAGTTAGTTAGTAGTTAGTTAGTGTTAGTTAGTTAGTTAGTTAGTTAGTTAGTCTAGTTAGTTAGTAGTAGTAGTTAGTTAGTAGTTAGTTAGTTAGTTAGTTAGTTAGTTAGTTAGTAGTTAGTAGTTAGTTAGTGTTAGTTAGTTAGTTAGTTAGTTAGTTAGTTAGTTAGTTAGTTAGTTAGTAGTTAGTTAGTTAGTTAGTTAGTTAGTTAGTTAGTTAGTTAGTAGTTAGTTAGTTAGTTAGTTAGTTAGTTAGTTAGTTAGTTAGTTAGTTAGTTAGTTAGTTAGTTAGTAGTTAGTTAGTTAGTTAGTTAGTTAGTTAGTTAGTTAGTTAGTTAGTAGTAGTTAGTTAGTTAGTTAGTTAGTTAGTTAGTTAGTTAGTTAGTTAGTTAGTAGTTAGTTAGTTAGTTAGTTAGTTAGTTAGTTAGTTAGTTAGTTAGTAGTTAGTTAGTTAGTTAGTTAGTTAGTTAGTTAGTTAGTTAGTTAGTTAGTTAGTTAGTTAGTTAGTTAGTTAGTTAGTTAGTTAGTTAGTTAGTTAGTTAGTTAGTTAGTTAGTTAGTTAGTTAGTTAGTTAGTTAGTAGTTAGTTAGTTAGTTAGTTAGTTAGTTAGTTAGTTAGTTAGTTAGTTAGTTAGTAGTTAGTAGTTAGTTAGTTAGTTAGTTAGTTAGTTAGTTAGTTAGTTAGTTAGTAGTTAGTTAGTTAGTTAGTAGTTAGTTAGTTAGTTAGTTAGTTAGTTAGTTAGTTAGTTAGTTAGTTAGTTAGTTAGTTAGTTAGTTAGTTAGTAGTTAGTTAGTTAGTTAGTTAGTAGTTAGTTAGTTAGTTAGTTAGTTAGTTAGTTAGTTAGTTAGTAGTTAGTTAGTTAGTTAGTTAGTTAGTTAGTTAGTTAGTTAGTTAGTTAGTTTAGTTAGTTAGTAGTTAGTTAGTTAGTTAGTTAGTTAGTAGTTAGTTAGTTAGTTAGTTAGTAGTTAGTTAGTTAGTTAGTTAGTTAGTTAGTTAGTTAGTTAGTTAGTTAGTTAGTTAGTTAGTTAGTTAGTTAGTTAGTTAGTTAGTTAGTTAGTTAGTTGTTAGTTAGTTAGTTAGTTAGTAGTTAGTTAGTTAGTTAGTTAGTTAGTTAGTTAGTTAGTAGTTAGTTAGTTAGTTAGTTAGTTAGTTAGTTAGTTAGTTAGTTAGTTAGTTAGTTAGTTAGTTAGTTAGTTAGTTAGTTAGTTAGTTAGTTAGTTAGTTAGTTAGTTAGTTAGTTAGTTAGTTAGTTAGTTAGTTAGTTAGTTAGTTAGTTAGTAGTTATTAGTTAGTAGTTAGTTAGTTAGTTAGTTAGTAGTTAGTAGTTAGTTAGTTAGTAGTTAGTTAGTAGTGTAGTTAGTTAGTTAGTTAGTTAGGTTAGTTAGTTATTAGTTAGTTCGTAGTTAGTTAGTTAGTTAGTTAGTAGTTAGTTAGTTAGTTAGTAGTTAGTTAGTTAGTTAGTTAGTTAGTTAGTTAGTTAGTTAGTAGTTAGTTAGTTAGTTAGTTAGTTAGTTAGTTAGTTAGTTAGTTAGTTAGTTAGTTAGTTAGTTAGTTAGTTAGTTAGTTAGTTAGTTAGTTAGTTAGTTAGTTAGTTAGTTAGTTGTAGTTAGTTAGTAGTTAGTTAGTTAGTTAGTTAGTTAGTTAGTTAGTTAGTTAGTTAGTAGTTAGTTAGTGTTAGTTAGTTAGTATTAGTTAGTAGTTAGTTAGTTAGTTAGTTAGTAGTTAGTTAGTTAGTTAGTTAGTTAGTTAGTAGTTAGTAGTTAGTTAGTTAGTAGTTAGTTAGTTAGTTAGTTAGTAGTTAGTTGTTAGTTAGTTAGTTAGTTAGTTAGTTAGTTAGTTAGTTAGTTAGTTAGTTAGTTAGTAGTTAGTTAGTTAGTTAGTAGTTAGTTAGTTAGTTAGTTAGTTAGTTAGTTAGTAGTTAGTTAGTTAGTAGTTAGTTAGTTAGTTAGTAGTTAGTTAGTTAGTTAGTTAGTTAGTTAGTTAGTTAGTTAGTTAGTTAGTTAGTTAGTTAGTTAGTTAGTTAGTTAGTTAGTTAGTAGTTAGTAGTTAGTTAGTTAGTTAGTTAGTTAGTTAGTTAGTTAGTTAGTTAGTTAATTAGTTAGTTAGTTAGTTGAAAGGATCAAATCAAAAGTAGCAGTTATATCTGTCCACCCCGTCCAGTTTGACGCTCCCTTCAAATGGGAATCAAACCCTCAACCTTCAATCTTACAGATTACAATACTAATCCATCGCGAAGCACTCACCTATATACCACAGATAGAAAAATTATTGAATCCGACTGTATTCTAATTTAAAAACAAACCATAATAAGTCAGAATTATTCTGTAGCTTGGTGTAAAAACATCTTTTTCGCACTTAGAAATAACTAATTTGCATAAAAGATATTTCATGACATATTTCTACGAAAAGATACTAAAGGTCTCGTGCCCAAAATGTCATGCTTAGATGAATAATTTCTGCTCGTATTGGATCTTGTCGCTAAATTTTTATTTAACAAATAAACGACTTTTTTGATAAATTTTTACAATTGAAACAAATGAGCAATGGGCGAACTTATCGCACTTTTTAAGTTTATACAAAGCGGATATATATGTAAATAGATCATGAGACTTAATAATATTATAGGTATTGAGCCAGAAATTTTGTAAATTAACGGTTAAAGTAGGATTTTAATAAAACAATACAAATGAAATTGTGGCAGTTAACTTTAAAAATAAAATAAAATTTTGATGATTTGGTTAAACTAACTTAATTAATTGACTGAAACAAATTAGTTAAAAGAAAATATTCCTATAAAATTAATGGAAAATTATATGAAATTTATAAATAATTAAAGGCTCATTAGATAGATGGGTCTAAAATCATAAAAATTTTATTATATTTTTTGATAAAGATTTAATAAACTTATGAAAATTTCACACTCTTATACAAATGAGTCACGGTTTTTTTGATAGGTATTTAAAAGTATTTTAGATCGTGCATAAGATTTTATTTTTATTACTTTTTCAATATTGACAACTAAATAATTTCTAAATTTGCGTCATTTTTAAAAAACAATAATTTTAGAATTTTTTATTTTCTAGCCCCTTTATTTTAACGAGGAGTTTATTTATTACGATTGCTTTATGTTTAAAGTTCAGATTTTTTATATTCCAGCGGGGCTTGGGTAGTACTTTTTTTTAGGGAGAAGCAAGAAGAGCTACTATTTTATATATCATTTCGCAAGTTGGTGTGAAAATATTAATTCACTTAAAATTGTATTTTTTAATTTTCTAACTTATTGATTTCCTATAAAAACTCTCTATGAATATCAATTAATCAACAGAATTATATTGAATTTCAAATTGTTAACAACACGCGGATTAAGAACTTTTTTTGAAGTAAAAAAGAAAACATTTAGAATTTTTTTTTTTTTAAGAAGAAGTGATTTCGTCTAGAGAGAAATTAAGCTAAACGGTTTATATAAAACTACTGTGAAAGAAAAAGGATTATTAAAGGATTAAGCAAGATTTGGAATATTATTGAAAATTTCTACAAAAATTACAACAAGTTTTTGCAACAGCTGCTATTACAATGGATTTGATGGTAAGAATCTGGAAAGATCATTATAATTTATAAAAGTGAAAAGATTGAAAAAGTTTTTAAAAGAATTTTTCAAAAAATTAGAAAGTGTTAAGAAAATTTTAAAGAATTTTAAATTTTTCACTTCTTGAAACATTTAATTTGTAAATTTTAAAGCGAAAATTTAGAATTGTAACAGAATATTTGCTCAAATCTCTTTCCAACTCAAGAAAACGCCATTTAAACGCTAGATTTCTTATAACTCTACTTTTCTGGAATTTTAAACCACAACTTTTTTAATGGAATTTTTACTAATTTTCTCCTTTTCTCATCTCTTCTCTTTTTAGCACCTTATACCCTATATCACTCTCTTGCTCTGCCTGCTCTTTACCCTCATCGCTGAAACTTCGGCTCGGGCATTTACAGATTTGGATACATTTATTTCAACACCCGTTGATATTGATGATCGTTTCAATGATGAATACTTTTCGAACTATCAGACTCGTCCAGTAGCTCCCAAAGATTCTCTATTAAATCGTCTAAGACGTGGTTACTACTACATTGATGATGGCGAAATAACACCCGTTAATCCCACAGATATACAAACCGGCCGTAGACGTCAAGATACTGGGGATTCAAATGAATCGGATCAGAATGGTGTTAAATATACTCCCTTAGTGCGTTATCATCAGACACATGCCAAACGCAAGAAGTTGTTTGTGCCCAATTTCTTTGGTTAAATGATCGATATCCGAAAAAAAGCGAATTTTTTGCATTCCTGTTGTGCGGGAGTTATAGAAAAGTTTCGGTTGCTTGTGAAAGAGAGTACAGACTGGGAAAAATTGTTATTGTATATATACGTGTTAATACTTATTATCAGTATTTTTTAGTTTTTAAGCAAATTATTAATTAAGTTATATTTTAGTTTTATAAGATTTTTAAAAATTTTAATTATGTTTAACAAAAAAAATCATATGTAGCTGGTTTACTTTACCAAGAAAAAATGTTTAAAATTAAGTAACTGGTTTACTAAAAATCTCAATAATTTATATATAATTAAGAAATACTCTTTTATTAACTACAATAAAAACTAAATAAATGTTTTGAAAAAATTACAAAAATAACGGCTATTTATTAAAACTTTAAGGAGCTACCAACTACAAACTTTTAAACTGATATTTCAAAATATTTCTCACAGAAAAAACAGATAAATATAAATGAAATTCGTGCACTTACTATATTTTTTACAGATCTTTATTATAATAAGTTAATAAAGCTTTTTAAAAGATCTTTTATATTTAAACAATTTTCAAAATCAGCACTATTAATATAAAATTTTAACAATTTCTCAATAAATTTATTTATTATTTATTCAAAATTTTGTAATTTGTTTTCAAATTTATGTTATTGCAACCATTTAGACTTGAATTTTGTTTTATTTAAACCAATATACACTCCTCGGTCCATCTCTTTCCCTCGCCCCCTTTTTCACCATGCTAAACAATAAAATTATTAACAATTTTATATAAAAATCACTACAAATTATGCATAACATTTCATTATTTAAATTAAAGTTTAATAATTAAAACGTACTACTGGTTACCAGTAGCTAATGCTAGCGCTAGACAAAGGGAAAGAGAGAGAAAGAGAGAGATATATAGAAAAAAGTGTGTGCTAGAGTGAAAGCAAATATTATGTTTATTATAAAAATACTACTAAAACTGGGAAAAAGAGGGGTAAGTAATTTTGATAATTAAAATATTTTGTAACTATAATGGATCCATTTTTGTGGAAATTTCTTTGGCATGAATGATCTATTAAAATTATAAAGAAAGTGGGGATCATTAAATTTGACAGCAGATGGCAGTGAAGTCATACTGAAAGCTTTCTATAAGAAGAAAATTCATGTAGAAATCTAATATCTCATAGCTGTCAAATTCTGTTGTAGTTGTTGCAGCAAAAAATACCATAAACCTACAAATCGATTATAAAGTAAAGTAATTTCAGCAGCAGATTGGATTTGGTTCATACATACCTATAAAACATAATTCTCTCACAAACCGATGATGTCAAATACATATAATTTTTGAATTGACCAATTTCTCCACCTTGTATGGATTTGCCTTGGTATATGCTTTTATCATAATTTATCAAAAATTTTATATTTTTGGATTTAAAAGAGTTTACCACTTCAACCTATTCCACTCTAGGAAATATATCCGTAGAATTTTCGGTCCTTTTACCTGTTTTTTAATAGTGGACATTTTGTAGAATTTGGTAGAAAGATTTCGAGTCGTATAACTCTTATTCGTTTCGAATTTCATTGCTGTTCTCGTATTTTTTAGTTCAGTCATAAGCATAAAAGTAATTATCTGAAGCGGACCTTTTATGAGGTAGCGATAATTATGAATCGATACCCAAAAAAATTTTTACATAGATTATGTTTTGGTCAGCTATAGACCAATCCTCATAAAATACGGAATGAAGAATTATAATAAAAATCTTTTTATGGCGAATACAACGATGAAGAACTTGTAATTTTCTCATAGTGGCTTTATATATGAGGGGTAGTAGGTTCAATTGTGGACCGATCCTCATAATATTTTGTAATGCGATTTTCATTAATACAGAACTTTTTTATGTCAAAATTCATCGTTTTTTTAAGCCAGTAATTAGGGTTAAAGTAAATTTCTCAAGGGAACCTTATATGGGTGTGGGGGCTATGCGAAATCGTGGACCGATATTGTCCATTTGCAATACCAAACAAACCATACCTATAAGGAATATTTGTGGAAAATTTTAAGCCTCTAGCTCTTTCTACTCGAACCCTATTGTGCTGACGGACCGACGGACATACAGACGGATATGGCTAGATCGTCTTAGAATTTAAGAAGGACCGAGAATATTCATACTTTTGTGGGTCTACGACCAATATTACGATGTGTTACAATCGGAGTGGCAAAATCAATATACCCCCATCTTTTTTGATGGTGGGTATAAAATGGTCAGAATAAAACCTATTTTTATTTTGGCAATAGGCGATACTTCCAGCTTCTAATTAGCCCTATATTTGGTACTATGATTGATTTTGGGCAATTTTTCATTATGTCTAATTTTAACACAATACTACTTCACTCAAGGCCTTATTGTCATACGAAGTTAGGTAGGGTGCTGTAATGGACTGCTTGACTTCTCTTAATGAATTAGGTAAACAAAACAAACTGACTTTATGTTGGATACCTGGCCAGACAGACAGACTTCCTAGCAAATAGAAGCGCTCGTCACCAACTAATTGGTCCTGAGCTCTTCTTTGGAATTCCCCAACGATACACAAAAACTAAATGCAACTCTTGGGTGAAATCTGAATTTGCTCTCCATTGGGAAGCAATACCAGGGCTCAAACGGACAAAATGTTTCATAACACTATCAAAGGGAAAATCCAAAATGCTACTAGCGCTCAATAAAAGCGATCTCAGAGTACTAACGGGATTATTTACTGGACATTGCAGACTTAGGTACCATCAATTCACTCTAGGCAACTCTATAACGAATATATGCAGTTTCAGTGGCCTGCAAGAGGAAACCTCAGAGCATATTTTAAGCAACTGCCCATTATTGGGGACCCACAGAGTTAAGATCTTGGCTGCTGCCTTACTAACCCCAAAAGACATCTTCAATCTCTCACCAACTAAACTAGTTACCTTAATGTGTAATCTGAAACTATTATGGTGAACCAACGGGCTGCACAAAAGATCCACACATAGGTCGTAGGTGCTTCGTGCGCCTTCAATCTAATCTAATGGTCTCTTAAGTAATTTACTGAAAAATTACTGTATGGGGGCTAGGGTCAAATGAGGTCCATTTGTTTGGGACCTAAGTCAAATATTGGACCGATTTCAATTCCTCATCGAATCATATGGCGAATGTGTTCCATCGGTTTCAATGTGCGAGAGATAGTTGTTCGGTTTAGGAGTTATAACTTTAGAACGGAACCCAAAGATTGCTCAAGCCGATTAAAATTCATTGGGAGCTACTCAAGCAGCAATTTTCAAACGCCTACGAGCAGGGATATTGGGTATCGTAGGAATTGGCTTGAAGGACATGTCCGAAATACAGCTGAAATATCGATCCCTTACGAGAACTCGTAGCTGAACGCTTTCTCTGTGAGAGATATTCAGCAAAGGGAAGAAATGGTTAACAAAAAAAAACATAAACTTTGCTTATTTTCAGGTTTCTCCCCCGTCTAGGAAGAGTCTTTTTTAGATCAATAGTTTGAGTGTGGTTTTCTCATTAATTTCTGAGGGATGAAACTAGTTTAAACATCAGATTAAGAAGCTAATGATCTCGGGATCAGAATTAATGCAGAACCACTTCCGGCTCAATTACGATCTTAACTAATATAGAACAATGATCACGACTATAGGACTTAATAAAGTCTGATTCAATTATGGACAGATCATCATACAATTTAGTACTATACAATTTAGTACAGGGGATAGGGTCAATTAATATCCGATTATCATACAATTTTGTACAGAGATTTATGTTCTAAAAGGACTTATTCATCTCGAATTTCATTCAGTAATTTTCTGGAGGGGACCTTACATGGGGGCTAGGGTTATTTGTGGGCCGATCATCATACAATTTGGTAAAAAGATTCATGTGCCCATACAACCTTTTCATGACGAAATTTATCGTTATACAGTTATTTTTAATCGAGTAATGTGCGTTAATCGTTCTTTAGGGGATCTTATATGGGGGGTAGGGTCAATTATGGACCGATCATCGTTTACAGAGAGCTTTTGGTTCCTATAAAACTTATTTGTGTTGAATTTCATCTCCATAAAGTTATTTTTAAGACAAAAATGAGCATTATAATCATTTTTGTAGGGAACCTTATATTGGGTGGTAGGGACAGTTATGGTCCGATGTCCGCCACAATTCAGAATTTAAGTTCTAAAGACAAAGAAATGCATTGTGCGAAGTTTTGTCGCAATTGCTACATAATCAACGAATATGTCACAATTTGACCCTTATAACACAATATTCCGGGGGCACATTTGTATCTTGGACCGATTTTTCCCATTTTTAATAGCAATATTTTTTGATCAATAATAAAAATTTTAAGAAAATTTCATGTCCCTACTTCTATTTTTGTGACCGCTATCGTGCCATAGCTAGATTGTCTTAGAATCTTACGAGAACCCAGAATATGTAAAATTTATGGGGTGTATGAGCAATATTTCGATGTGCTACACACGGAATGACAAAATCAATAAAAATATCGTTTACTTATAAGTAATTTAAATTAATGTTAAACCAGATTTCGTATTTTTAACGTTATTAGAAAGAAAGGACCATATCGAATGATGGAACTTCTCCCCAACTCTTACTACTGCTGTTTACTGGGTGTACCATTCTGCTGTTCTCTTGCGGTTTTCAGTCTCCTTATTTCAACCGATAGGGTTTGTTGACCTGATTCTCGACAAGAATACACGTAGGATCTTGCAAAGGCAGCGGTTCAAGAATTTTCCTCATGTTACTGTAGGCAGTTGGCTCTAGTTTTCGCAAAGAAGTAGCGGAATAAGAATCAATATTTTTCAAAATCGTAGAATTTAGAAGTCTATTATATTGGAGATAAATGAGCATTTTACAAGAAAACCATACATAACGGGCGAAAGACCTTTTCTAACCCAACTACAAGAAAGTGGTAGTTATCGAAATTATCACTTTTGAACGGACTCTCTTAAATATGCAAATACTCTCTCAAATATTAGTATGTAATAATAACAATATCTCTATTTCACTTTCTAGTCTTGTATAATTTTTTGAAAATTTGCTTTCTATAAAACAAGTCTGTCCCAACATTACCGCCCATCTGTCTGTCATATTGTCTGCCATATCTTCACAGAAATTATAAAATTTCTACGATTGATTAAATCTGAATAAAAATCAAATAATAAATTAAAAATCATCGAAATATCAGCAGAGTTTCACGCCTTTAAAAGTTAATAAACCGT